TCCTTCTGCCTCTGGCTACTTCTCACTCCCTTTCCTGGCTTTCCTTCTCAGTCAGCCCAGCGTGTACTTCTCAAGGCCCCCTCTTGGCCCTCGTTCTCCTTTCTCAGTCAGTACAGGACAATCTACTCAGCTTCTGTGGCTTCAGTTACTATCCTTAAACCAACAGTTTCCAAACAATCTCCCACTTGGCTTTCTTTCCTAATCTCCAGAACCATTGATCCAGCCACCTACTGACATTTCCACATGTCCAAAGCTGAACTCCTCTCCCCCAGCCCTGTCCTTACCTCAGTTCACCCCCTCTCACCATGTATAAAACCCTTCATGACCAGCCACTTCCCCCCCTCGACTCCTCTCTCACTTCTCTGTGCAAACTCCAGCCAAGCTGAACTCCCCGGAGGGTCCCTAGGCACACGTGCTTTCTGCCTGCCAGGCCTCTGCACATACTTTTCCTTCTGCCTGGAATGCTGTCTCCTACAGCCTCTCCTCTCCCTACCACCCCCCTCAAAACAACTTGAGTAATTCCTGCTTAGCAGACATTCCTTTCAATATTGCCTTTTCTAGAAAAATAGAATTTTTCAAATAAGCAAAACATTTACTTACTCCAATTGATTTTTGTCTAGGTAAAGATATAACCTAATACAAAAAAATTTTAATGAACACCTGGGTACATATTAAGTACATTTTCTCTTTAGACTTTAACTCTTTCAGTCTTTTGCCAAACCTTGTCTTTCTTGGTTCCACATCTAACAGCAAGACCTCTGGAGCTACTTCACAGGTCCTGATCAGTGGTTTAAAATTTTCTTGACACATCTCTGTTCAGGCAGCTGCCTTTTGCTGCCGTTGACTCTTAAGAGCTCACTAAGTCACCTCTCAAGGTCAAGAGGGACTGTCTCTTCCCCATGCCTGTGGCTTTCTGCAGTCTTGGGAACACTGTTTCATTCTGCTTTACAGTTACAGCACTACAGCTAGGAAAGAGCCTTCATCTTTTCCTGTCTACTCTCTCTTTAACAGACTGATCTAGTCCAGAAGCGGCTGCTCTTGTGGATCACACTGTGGACTCAATCTTTGCCTCTTACCTTCTGTCAGAAATACATTTACTTCCTTGCCCAAATATACAAAACTTTCACAAAACAATATTATAACTACTGCATTCTAGTACTTTCTCTCTTTTTTTTTCACTTTCTGAAGTGCAGTCATGACCCACTAAATTGATTCACGACGTATCGATGAATTGCAGTCTAGTTTGGTGACCAGTGCTCTGTTCTAAGTCCTCTGAGTTTTCCTGTTTGTATGTATTAATTACTCAGGAGAAAAGGCTAATAAGATTATTTTCAGCTAAAGCCCTTTCAAAGATTTCTGTCAGAAACTACTTTTACATAATTGAGAGGACTGTGCCTTTTTTTCCTTCTTAACATGAAAAGCACATTTTGGACATTATACACAGTTTTTAAATGGTCACAGGATGGTTTCAATAAGTTAATGAACAAATACCTAATGATTGCCTGGCTTTGCAAAAGGTAAACTAAAAGCACTGTGTGTGTGTGTGTGTGTGTGTGTGTGTGTGTGTGTGTGTGTGTTTGCATTCGAATACATATTTTATTTCAGGACTATAGAAATCAAGCTCTCAATAAATGTTAGCTATTGTTACTGTAGTTGACCAGATGTGTACCCCCAAAACCAACCACACAGTGTGTTGGGGCTCTGTCCTGCATCTAGGATCAGCTCTTCAAGTGCCTTGGCACTCGTGTTCACCCCACTGCTGAGGGCTGGGAACGTTTTTGTGCTAGGGCTCCATTTCCAGGAGGGGCCATATTAGCTCCTTCCCATCTCAAGGTGCCACATGATCAGGTGACAGTAATTGCAGGCATCAGGCAGTGAATTAATTCTCTTATCTTCTAGATATCCCTACTCTCAGGCAAACATATTCATCCAGGCAACTTAGCCACTCACTTAAGTCCTTTCCTCTGCTTTACCCAATCAGGCCTGGAATTTTCCCTCTTCTACAGTGCCTTTACAGAATGCTACCAGGGTCTTCTCTCAGTGACCCCCTCAGTGGGTGCGCACGTTCTGTGGCCACAGCAGGCAGTCAGGCCCTCTGTAGTGTACTGGTTTCTCCACGCTAGGTTGGGCACTGTGAGGAAGGAGAAGTAAGGCATGGTTGCCCGCAGAGCTTACAGCCCTAGAGGAGCCAACTGTATGCGAGTGGGTGGGCTCCTCTCTGGCTCCTAACCCCAGCTGCCCACTTTGGCCCACCTGACCACGCTGGACAAGCAGAAGTCCAGATTGGTCCCCTGCCCACACGCCATGGTCTTTCCAGGATGTAAAGACAAAAATGTGAACTCTGGGAACAGGTGCCACCATCGCTGAGGGTGGAAGGGAGCCGCTGCTGCTGGTGAGGCGGGAAAGGGGGCTGCAGCGGGGGGCGTTGTGAGAGCTGCTGCATCTCAGTTCAGCGTCAGATTGCCTGCTCCTCACTACTTTTCACGGGTAGGAAAGGCCAAACTGAGAGTCCTTTCAGTCCCCAGCGCCCAGCTACTGTCATTAGGAAGCATGATTGATTTTTTCTTTTGGGCAACATTTGGAAATAACTCATTAAGAAATGGGGAAAGCTTTGTGCGCGCTCCTTTCCCTTCTGCGGCTCACTTTCTCCTCCAAAGCCATGAGCAAGGGGAACCAGTGAATGTAGTGAACATTTGCCTCCCGGGCCTCCCATGGCCTGGTCCCACACTGCTGCACCGAGCGCTTTGCATATGTTGTCCCACCTCCTCTCCACTGGAGTGATGGTGGCCACCTCCCAAATGGCTGCTGTGCTTCAGACTCTGTGCCAGCCACGCCCATGTCCTCTCTCCGATCGTCACAACACTGCCACGTAGATGTTCCTTTCTCTCTAATTTATGAGGGAGGGAAAATGAAAGATTTGAGGTAAGGTTATCTAAAAGATGTGGGATTAAAATAAGACATCCAGGAAGAGTCTCTAGTTCTTAAGATCCATCAGTGTTGCCAGGTCAGAGGGATATTACAGTTACTCCCATCCTTTTTTTCAAAACAAGAGGGGATACCCACTTCCTTTCCAACCTGATCCCTTCTACGACAACCCCTTTCTCGAATTTCACCAGCACCACCACCTTCAGGCGAACATACTCACCTGTCAAAACGGTCCCGTCATCCCTAGCATGTGTCCTGCCTCCCCCTCTGCCCAGTCACCCTTCCAGACTGAGCTCAGATCTGCACTTCTCTGGGATACCGTCCTTGGCCCTGCAGCCAAATGCTCTTTCTCTCTCCTCTGAGCTGCTGCACCCCACCTACTCACTGGCCGCTCGGCCCTGGACAAGTGGTGTTTTTCCATTAACTGGCAATGGCTGATTCTTTTCTACATGCTGCTGGGGAAAGGCCCCACTCTGGTGGCCCCTTCAGGCCTTCTCTCAGCCACACTGTCCATATTAACCCAATTCTGGTTCCCTGGACCAAGCCTCACCTTTGTTACCTCTAACTACCAGCCTTCTCCCTAGTGTGACCCCACTGGTGAACCTTCAGAGTCCCCTTCCCTGTGTTGCTCCAGCATGGAAGCAGGAGTTCCTGTGGGGATTAGACAGGCTTGGACAAAAGTGTAGGGAATGGCAGTTGGATCCCAAGATGAGGGCCCTCCCCTGGAAACATTAACATGGGTAAATGGATAACAGAAGGGAGGATTTCTCTCTGTTTTTCCTCCTCTGCCAGAGAATTCACCTTTAACCATTGACCTTTCTGTGAGGTGTGAGATCTGAACAAAGTTGAACACAATCCTGGATGGTTAAATACCCATCTTTCCCTTCTTCTCCTGCCTCTGCCCCTCGGAAGATGGTCCGAGGTATACGGACCACCCCTCTAGGTTCAGTAGCTGATAACAGAGGAGAGACACACATACACCCAGAAATGGAGAGTGGAAATGACTCTCTGACTCATTGAAACCCAGAGCCTCTCTGTACCAGGAATGCCAAGCCATGCCAATCTGGTTGAATTTAACAGGAGGAGGCATTTCTGAATACCCACACCAGAATCAGCTGTCTAACCCCTGACATTTGGTGATTTCTTCCTGCCCAGTTTTCTTTGAACCCCACCCTTGTCCCAGGCAGGCCCACTGCATAAGACATTTTTTAATTCACTGGCAAAATCTCCCAGCACCAGGCTTCACAGACCTCCCCAGTTTTTCCCCCACATATGTTTTATTTCGTGTAGCTCCATAGCTTGCAATTCTATCCCTCTGTGTGCTTAATTGAGTTTGGTGAGAATCAACATCCAGTTGCTTCATTTGTTTAGGATGACTTTTTCCATTCTGTGCCCCCTGTGCTCATTTTACTGGCATGTTCCCATCATCTCCAGGCTCCAGCTGGCCGGGCCCAGCATGCCATCTCCACTTGGATGTGTGTGACTGGTGCTGGCCTTAGGGGTGGGTTGGGGGAGTGTGGGCTAAGCCTACCAGGGTCCTGCTTCCATCTGGTCATGGGCTGGGCCCTTGAAAGGCCTGGAGTGTCTTTGGTTTCATACTTTATTCACCCCCCAAGCCACTGGGAGCTGATTATAAGCATATAGTTCTTGCATTTGAGCATGTCACCATGATACTTCTCTAAGCAGCCCAGCCACACTGCCAAGCAGCTTTGAACTTCAAGCCTGGTTTCTACATCCATGGAATCCTAGAAGAGGAAGGAAACCTGAGGGGCTACCCAAGATGCTGGCCTTACTTTCACATCCTTTCCTGTGCTCAGCCCCATGCAACAGGCATGGATATAGGCACTCCGTAGGCAGGACTGGGGAGGAGGTGTAGAAGGAAGAGTGGTAGCAGTTCAGGCTAGTGAGAAATATGTTAAAACCCGATATGCTTTGAAACAGACTGTGAACACACCCTACAAAGCTCTCAGTAGTCAAACCAGATTTTGATACCTATTCCCTTTTATCTCAGCTCTTGCTGCTCTCTTAAAGGTTCATTTCGTGATCCTCTTTAAAGTATTTTATTTTCAATACAGACACAGCCCTTGATGTAGCAGTAAAAAACATCACCCCTGAGAGACACATGGCTGTGAAGTGTGTTGGTATGTAACTTCCTGTCTTAGCCTATGTGCAAGGCTTTGTCCCTCTGCTCTTTCTGTCCCTCAAGAGGTTTCCCCCTTACCCCCTTGCTGCTCAGGCTTCAGGAGGCATTCGAGTGAGGGTAAGAAGTCAGCTCAGACAGGAGGTACCTTCTGGCAATAGACTTGCTTGGGATGGGGAATAGTTGCTGGTCTTCACCCAACAAGAGTTTCTTTGAGAACCTCACTCCCTGCCCCCCACTTTTAAGATGGAAGTCAAATTTTCGGATTCTGCTGTGCAGAGCAGAGAGGTCACTAGGCTCTAATGCATTTACCATTGACTGCCCCCTCTTGTAGTGCGTCTATTAGTGAGTAATTTGATTTGTACCTATTCATTTGCAGTCCCTGCAGGAGCCTGGAGCTGGCCCCTAGTATAATTGGTGCTGTCTCTATTTTTACATCATTAGATTAGCCCCGACTCCTGGCCACTTGTTGTCTGCGCTTGTCTGTCCATTTATACAACCTAATGTAACACAAAATTCATTACTGATCACATTACTTTCAACTCTGAAGCCAGCCTTGTGATAAACATTTGGTTAACCCCTTCCTACCCATAGGAGCCTGAACAGAACAAATGCACTGGTCCTCGACAGGCAAATCAATATCTTAATACACCAAAGTGGAATTGCATTTCTAGATTTGTTATTCCTCCTGGAGGAGCAAATGGAAAAGCCCGTCTGAGCTAGCTGAATTGAATAATGAATAGAGCCCCGGCACCAGCAACCAGTCTGTGAACAGAGCACAAAGGCAAACCCGGCCTCCACCCGGCTGTTTGATCTGGACAGGTGGCACCACAGCAATTAACTGGGACCTGGGTTTCTCTCCCAGCCACAGAGCGTGGGTTCAAGAGCACCTAGTGGGGACCCTGAGGGGGGCAGCAGAGACCCTTGGCCCCGCTGCCATCCTTTGTGCCTGGTTGGCCTAGGACAATTAGACCAAGAACTGGGATCGTTTCCTTGAAACCTTCTTCACTGATACAAAGGCGCCAAACACATGGCTTTGGCACCGATGTCAAGAAATTAAATTAAATCCATTCTTAAACTAAACTTTACCATTTGGAAACAGAAACAAATGCACAAAATGATTCCTATTTAGATCCAGATTAGCAGTGTTAGGATTGGTTGATTCACACCAACTCTTGTGTGGGGGGTTGCCTACCCGCAGGGTGAGCATTCTTCGGCACAGAAACACCATGTCCGCCTGAAAGAGGTCCTGGCTCTCCGGTAGGGATGCTGGTGAGCAGCACAGGGGACTCTGCGTGGGAGCTGGCCGGGTCTTAAAGGGACCTCCACATACTCTATTCCAGAAGATTCTCCCCTACTCCCATCCCCTGGTTTTCCCTCCCATTTGTCTCTGGGTAGCGGCCACACCCACCATAAGTCATTAACTTACAGGACAGTTTGTTTTGAAAGGAAAAGTACCCTGCCCAACTTAATTAAGAATCTCTCATAAAGCCTATACCACAAAGATTAGAAAAATAGGCATAGAGGCGGTAGAATGGACCCCATTACCGTGAATGTCATAAATCCCTCAGTAAAAAAGAGCCATAAACTGAAGCTTCTTAGTTGGGAAGGGAAACTCAAAAAGAAAGACCCTCTCCAGGACATTCTGCTTGAATTCATGGAAGTCCTGATTGGGAGGCTGAGGAAAGGCACTGAAACCTTGGGTTACTGGGCCTCCTTTCTATTGAGCAGGCCGCCCTGCCTCTCCGAGGATTGCACTTTGGACCCCATTACCCGTTAACCTGTTCAGAGCTTTGACAAGGCTAGAAATGACCAGCAGTCCCATGAGTCATGGAGGTCCTAGGGGTTCCTCGAGAAGGCTCACATGCTGCTCTCGGCCTTTTCTCCATTCCTGTGTTTCTCATGACACCCCTCCTTCAGTTGTGGGGGAGGCCCGGGGGCGGGCTGCCTCCTTCAGCAGTCCCAGGCCTGCGCGTGAGAGATGAAGGGGTGCAGGGGGAGACCGCCTCACCCCGCCCTGGCTGTGGGAAGCTCCATTTCCACAGAGGGGCAGTAGGGCCCAGCCAGACACCCCAGACTCAAAGCTCTCAAGTGCTTCCTATTGTGAGGAACTGCAAAGAGGGGACCTCTCGGCAGGGTATTGTAAGACACCTCACCTCTCAGCAGTGGAAGGACACTGGTGTGTTGCCGAGGAGAGCAGGGCACAGCAACTGCCCTCTCAGGGCCCCTCACCTCCCGCCCCTGCCCAACTAACTTGCAGTGCGCTAACTTGCTCCGGAGAGGGCCTGCTGCTCTGGCCACAGCTGCTGATCCTCTCTGGTGGGTAAAGGGACAGTGCGGGAGAGGCTCTCCGTGTGTCCCACGCTGGCCCAGTCCCATCAGCTCTGGAAAGCAGAGAGCACAGGCCTCGGCCTCAGCAGAACAGGACAGACCAGGGGCAGGGAGGAGAGCCGCTCAGCCGGTGGAATGAGAGACTGATTTCTTACCCTTGATGGTAAGTGGGGAAAGCCACATCTTATCAAACTCTTCTGCTGCATCATAGAGAATTTAATTACGTCTGGACAGTTGAATGAGAACCAGCTGTGGCTCTGGCCCGCCAGGCCAGCAGTGTCTCTCCTGTGGTCTGCAGGCCCCTGCGCTGTCTCATAGCCCTGAGGGCAGCTTGGGAGGACCCCACCTGGGAGCTCAGTGGGGTCTACCGAGCTTTGAGGCCGGACTTCAGCAGACAGGCAGGTGAAGGCCAGCTGCCAGGCAGCTGTTCCTCGGGAGAATTTCCAAGCCTTATCTTCTCCTCATAGCCATGCTGAGTGGGCATGTTTTCAGGGCCCTGATTAGCACCCACACTGCCCTGTACGCAGGACACACACACAAAGAAGTCACGTCATGGCACCTGGCTGGGCATTCTCTACCACTGAAGACATGTCGCCTTATCACCCAGCCCAGCCTGTCCCTTAGACGGCATCTGCCCTCAACATCATGCCAAGGAGCTGGAGCAAGAAAGGGCATTTCAGACCCTTCTGGTGAGGGGCACTTTTCCTGGAGCCTCAGCCTGCTGAAACTCCAGAGATGGCAGTGCCGATCTTCTAACCGGGGCCCCACCACAGTGACAGTGGTCTCTCACATGTGTTGGGTGTGTGTTCTGCTTTGTGAAGCCCCATCACATCCTTTTCTCTTTAGAGCCTCACTCACCCCCGTGAGGTTGCCAGAGCATCCCCTCCAATCCGCCTGACAGATGATGGAGTGGATGAGAAGTGAAGTAGCGGGCCCAGGTCATTCAGCACGTCTGTGGAAGAACCAGGGCCAGAGCACCTTCTCAGCTCCTACTGCAGGCCCCCCTCCGCCTTGCATCCACAGGGAGTTTCAGCTCATGGCTGCTCCTGAAGCAGGGCTTCAGACAGATTTATCAAAGACCTTAAAGCCAGGGAAACGTGAGCCAGGTCAGCTCAGCCATTGCTGTCCCCATGTGTACGACGTGAGCCAGGTCCGCTCAGCCATTGCTGTCCCCATGTGTATGATGTGAGCCAGGTCTGCTCAGCCATTGCGGTCCCCATGTGTGCTGTGTTGTAACAGGACACAGTCTGACTTGGTCAGGATTTAGAGTCATACTAATATTGTGCCACTGAGAGGGTCGCTGCACATGGAGTTGGTTGGTCGAGGTGGTCTGGGCCAGTGAGCCTGCTCTCTTCTCCTTTGAAGCCAAGACTTGGTAGGCCTGGGTAACGCAGGTTTCCTGGGGGAGGGATGTGGCAGCATTTCTGGTTTGAGCCCCTTCCTGCCTGGGATTGGTACTGCGTCGTGGCTGTTAGAGGAGAAACCAGGGAAAAGGCTCTAGCCCCCAAGCAGGCCAGCATTACCTCTGGCTAATATCCCACCTACTAGCATTGCTCAGCAGCTATTCAAAGACTGTGAAGGAATCTGGTGCTGGGCTGTGAGCTGGAACTCAGATGCTCCACTCCCACCACCCCAACACACACACACACTGCTGGCTCCAGCAGAGGGGGAGTGGAAGATGCAATAAGGCAGGCCTTTTGAACATGGGCCCTCCCTGCCAAGTTCTCATTGCTCAGGCCTCCCTCCTACTCTTTTCTCTGTTTTATTCTCCCTTCCCCAGCATTCCAGCATGCTCACTGCCCCTCATCCTGCCCCTGCCCAGCTCATCAGGAAGTTGGGGATCTTGTCTACCTCTAAGCCCTGGCCTCATGATGTTAATGCCACGCTGGCCTGCAGTCGTGAGTAGGATTTCCAGAGGCCTGAAAGCCTTTCCTGTTTGACTCCTGGAGGGAAAAGGCAATGGGAAGAAAGGTGATGTGCCCTTTTCCCAGTTTTTCTGGGTGGAGGCTGACACGCAGACAGGGCTGTCTGTTCACCCAGGCTCCTGCCCAGGTGTTGGTAGCGCTTTCATCTTCCAGGGGCCAGTAGATGCCGAGGAAGCTCTGAGGTCCTCCCTAGGCCGCAGGTCTCCTCACAAACCCAGAGGTAACAAGGCACACACATGGCCCCGTGGCCGAGGCAAGCAGTTCATGGTGTCCTAAGCCAAGAGCACTAGCGATTTACCCTCAGTGTCTAGAGCTGGTGGGTGGGGGCAGGGCAGGCCATATGGTCTTGACCTTATTCTGAGGCATTCTGGGTCTCAATACCTGTGAGGAACAGGAGCGGAGCAAGGAGAAAGGAAAGTGCATTTGCGGGAGCCCTGTGTGTTGAAAGAGTCCAGTGCAGGAAGGTGTGTTTCTGCCCTTGGGCTGCAGAACTGGGCCTCAGCCCCAGCTCTCAGGAGCCCCAGGCTGTGTGTGCGGTGAGCTCGCCAGATATAAGGGACATCCGTGGGCCAGGGCTCTATGCTCAGGCAGAGGTGTTAAGGCAGAGATAACCAGGCCAGAGTTAGCCCTGCTTCTCATCTACTCCAGGATTCCTGTCATCTAAATGTGAGAAGCCTTTCATCCTGGACCCCTCAGCTTTGAGAAACTGCCGCCCCTCCTTCCACCAGCATGCCCAGGAAGGGGACCAAAGGCCCTGCTGAAAGAGAAAGGGATCCCTTCTCAGTCTCCCCCAACCCCCATCCTCCCAAAACCTCCATGCTGGGCGCAGAGGGTCCCTCATCTGTTGCCGTTGCTGCGGCTCAGCCGGCTGTGCAGCCTGTGTGAGAGGAGCCCAGGCTGTGGGCAGGGCTGGAGACGGGAGAAGGGGAGGATGGCTGCCTGCAGCCACAAAGGTGGGTGTGTCTGAGGAGGAGAGAAATGAGGCCTCCCTACATGCTGCCTCCTTTAACTGCCGCCCTTTTAACCTTCTAAAAAGTGCCCTGGGCTGAGGCTGGCTGCAGTGCAGTGTGGTCTCCGACAGGGCTGTCAGCGTTCTCAGCCAACTCCATCTCTGTCTCCCTGAACAGACTTCTGCCTGCCTCAGCTACACTCTGGAGAGAGCAGTAGTCTCCTGGTGTAAGACAAGCAGCCTGCAACTGTGTCCACCAGGGCCACCTCATGGTTGGCATCTGGGCCATCTCTCCAGGCTCCAGCACCGGGAAGCCACCAATCCCACTGAGCCCCGCAGGATACATTCAAGCCCCCAACCTCCTTAGCTCTTCTCTCTCCAAGCCCCAGTTTGCATAGTTGGTTCCAGGCCCTGGCAGGCCCCTTGCTGGATGAGCTGCTTGCTCGTGCCAGGCTGCACATTACTGAATGTGCAGCTATCCTGTGGGCCGCTGGGCTCTTGGCCATCCCCACCCAAGGATGCTGACAGCCCCTAACCTCCTAGTCAGAGCCGCCCACCCGCACTGCCCCACCTCACTCCCCAGCAAGAACCCTCACAGCAGAAGGGGGCTGGAACTGTTTGTGTGTGCAGACCTCTCCAAGCCAGGCACTAGGCAAGATAGAGCAGTCTAGCTGAATGCCCTGTGCTCTGGGGCCACCCCTCCCCTGAGGTGCCACTGAGCCCAACACAAGCAAGGGGCTTAACCACAGGCCCTGCTCATGGGGGAGAACTGGCAGGTGGACACAGGAGGGAAAATCAATGCATGTCAACAGGGTTGGAAATTTATTTTACAGCTTGGAAGAGGGTATTTACAAAGAGGCAAGGAGGGAAATGAAAAGCTGTAAACACATATCTGCCATCTTCCTCCGTGGTCCATATCTTGATTATAAAAAGAATCCTTCCCAAGCTCCAGTGGAGAGCAAGCTGCAGGGGCCTGGATGGCAGACACCTGCTGGAGAGAGGGCACAGAGAGGGACCCTGCAGGCCTGTGGACAATCACAATCACTAATGTAACTGCAGCAACTATAGTAACCCACATTTGCTGACTGGAAGCTTTAAGCACACGGTGATGCACTCTACACGCATTATTTAATTCAATTCTTACCAGCATGGTATGAAACAGACATTGTTATCCTCATATGCAGGAAACTGAGGCACAGAGATATTGAGTAACTTGCCCAAAGCCTCCCAGGTGGCAGGGGGCTGGAGCCAAGTTCTTATCCACGTCCCCAGACTGTGTCCTCTACCTAAGCAGACACTGCGCCTCCCTCTTTCTCTGGCCCTCGAGGTGGTAGGTGGGGGCAGGCGGAGTGTCCTCCCTTCTCCTCCCCGCCAGCCCAGGTGAGACTCTGCCCCGAGTCCAGTCCTACTCCCTGGAGGCCGCTTGGGTGGTTGGGTTAGGACGCGGTGTGTGGCTGCAGTCAGGGCCCAATGAAAGTGCTTTGCTAATCCCCCAAGTGAGCAGCATCGTGAGGCTCTGAGTGTACAGAGCAGGGCTGGCTGCTGAGCACACCAGAGGTCCAGGCTGTAGATTCTGCTCCTTTTGTAGCAGGGAAGTGCCAGGGCTACCTGGAGGCCGAACTGGCAGTGGATCCCAGGCAACCTCTTCCAAACACAGACACACACACACAGCACTGCCCTCACTGACGTTGCCAGATCCCACTTGGGCTCTCCACAGTGGCCCCCCTACCAGGGGCCAAAGGGGGCTTCCCTTGTGGTCTCTGCTTGGCCAGCTGTCCCCACTGCCATCCAGCCTGAAAGAGGCTGGAGAAAGTCAAGCCCAGGGATGTCACTCCTGGCCTCCCACTGGGGCTCCCACCTGCCTGGGCTTCCCCAGCTCCCCCCCCCCTCAGGCTCACATAAGCCCTGTGTCCTCAGGGTTACACCCCCTCCCCAGGGAATGGGGGAGCCAGGACCGGAGCTGAGCAAAGGGACTGATGTGTGAAAGAGGCCTCCGTCCGGTCTGTTCCCTGAAGGCCCTGCCTTGCTAGGCATGGGCGGCCTCCAGGGAGGAAGGACCTGTACCCAGGAAGAGGACAGCCCACAGAGAGGGAGGTCCTCATGCCCTGCCCCCGGGTGCCACCTGGTGCCTGTGAGAGAGTCCCCCTCTGCCTCCATCCTCTGCCCCTCCACCAGCGTCAGCACCCATTCACAGCTCCCCGGAGCCTTTCTCTGCTGCACCGGCCTTTGCCCAGGGGCCGTAGCATCCCACTGTGGGATGCAGGCGCAGGGTGTCGGCAGGGTCAGCTGCCACAGAGAGGCTCCCTCGCTCTGCATGGCCTGGCCTGGACATGGGGTAACGTTTGCAGGCAGCCATGTTCCTCCCTCTTCACAGAGACTGGAACAACTCTTCTCTGGGTCTCTGTGCATACACACCCACATAACCCAAGTTGCTTCTCCCTAACAAGGTCAGCCACCTCTCTGCCCTCTCTGACACCTTTGAATCTTGCCAGGCTCCATATAGAGAGGGGGCAACACAAGGACGTAGCTTTCTCATTCCCTCACCTATTTCCTGAGAGCTGAGGCTCCTCCCTTTTAGTTGTTGCTCATTCTCTTGTCCCCCTACGAGTTATGGGTTGTCCATCCTGGCCCGTGGCATTGAGGGACATGTGGGGTAGCAGGTCCCTTTTCCAGCGAAAGCGAGCAGGGAAGGGGTGGACACAGCCAGTGGTGGGCTTTGGGAGCCAGTCGCAGTGCCCGCTGGAATTGTCAGCGCCTCCGCCCTGGGGCCTGCACACTTGGGACCAGTGGCGTCCTCCTCTTCCTTGGTTTTGCCCTGAGTAAGTTGGGGAGACCAACACCCATGTCCCAGGTGCACAAAGTCTCTGGAGAATATGAGGTCACAGTAAGATGATCATCTCTCTGGGTTCAGCCACATACCTGCCAGCTGCTACTCATCCTCGTTTAGAGCTACCTTTTTCCCACCAGCCAGAATCTACATACCTGGACTAAGTGGGGAGGCTGCTGGGATGCCCCTTAGTCCCCTGTCACAAATCCCCCAGCTCACTCTTCTGCGGCCCCAGCAGGTGTCTGGTGGACTTGGCCCACAAGTCCCACCTCAGCTGCAGGTGAGCTGCCCAAACCTGGGGGTCTTGGAAACGGGGGAGAAGGGTGGCACCAGAAGCTCAGCCATTGAGTCAAATGACCGGAGGTGTCCCCGAAAGCCTGTCTGTTTCCTCTCCCTCTCCTGGCAACCTGCTTGCATGGGTGCCACCCAGCACTGCATGGGCCAGAGCTCCCTTCCCTTCCCCCCTTCCCACAGCTGCTGCTCCTGCCCCGTGGGCAGCTCCTTCCCACCCGACCCCCAGCACTGAAGGGGGGCACGGCTCTGTCACATGTCTGGGACCGCCAAGACTGGCTGGTCCCCAGCCCCCTACACATGCACGTCCTTCTTGACTGCAGAATCCTACTGCAAGCTTGCCCTCCTCCCAGGGTGACACCCCATGTCCCTACTCCCTCTCTACCTGCTTGCAGGGGTCAGTGTACTTCTCGATCGTTGTCCATACCTTTTCCAAAAAGATTCCTCAATGCTTTTCTTTTCAAAAGGGAAAAAAAAAGGAAAAAAAAAACAATGCCAACAGCCCAGCGTCCGTGAGCAACCCAACAGTAACAAAGCATGTGTTCGGGATGGAGGAAGGTAAGGCCACACATTTCCATTTGCCGCTTGCTCCTAGGGCTGGGCGGCTGGGACGACTCGAGGGGGGAAGGTGTGTGCGCCCCTTCTTCACTGCCACTTATGCACACACTCATTGTCCCTTGTCAGCAAGAAGAGGAGGAAGGGGGTTTGGCAGAAGGCATGTAGAAAAGTGCCCAAGACTAGCCAGGCCTCTGGTTTTTTTACTGTAGTCTGTGCTGAAGAAGAGGCCCAGCCCCTCTTTACTGTATCATTCATTCATTCATTCAAGAAATATTCTTTGAGCACCGTTCTTGGCCCTGTGGTTGGCACTAGGAACACAGAGATAAGACATGGAGCTGGCCCCTGAGGGGCTCTCCACCTGGGTGGGGACACATGTGAGAAGATGGTGCCTGGAATGGTAGAGGGCCTGGGGCAGGAGTCAGAGCACAGGCCTGGCTGGCTCTGCCAGGGCAGCGAGACAGACTTAGAGGCTGAGACACCCGTGCTAAGCTCTGGAAAATGAGTAGGTGTTCTGGGGGCCAAGGGAGGCTGTGAAGGGCTTTATGGTCAGAGGGAGTTGCATGAGCATAGGCCCAGAGGCCTAAGGCAGCTTGGGGAGATCCAAAAACTATACTAGCTCATTACTTTGGTTCCTCAAATCTAGCAACAGGTACCACTTGTGAGGTGGGGTCTGGAGGCAGGTCACAGAAGGCTGTAGTGCTGACGAGTTTAGACCTTATCCTGAGGACTGCTAGGAGTTAATGAAGGTCTTTAAGCAGAGGAAAAGCAACATGAGGTTTGTGCTGCAGACAGTCAGCCCAGCTTTGGTATGGCAGTGGGTTGGAGAGGGCTGTCTGGAGGTCAGGAGCCCAGTAGGGAGCTCTTGAAGTTACCCAAGAGAGAAGCCCAGGCCTAACCAGGCCATGGCAGGGGCAGAGGAGGGCACAGGTGGGAGAAGGGAAATAAATTCACCAGCAGAGCTTGGTCACCCTGGAATATGGGGCAGGTGAGGAACTGCCACTTCTGTGTTACCCCAGGCCTAACCAGTGAACAGAAAATAGGAACAGGGCAGCTCGGGCTGTACTTGGCGCCCATGACCAGCAAAACTCATCTCCTAAACCCCGTTGGCAGTTGTGTCTGCGCTGTCATGTAATGGAATGGGGTGCATCCGCTCGGACTTACAGGGGGCTGCTCGGCGGCTGTGCTGGCCTGCACCCCGGGCAGTGGGGGCGCACGCTTGGTCTCGGGCTCCGGGCTCCTCCGCTTCTTTGGCCGTGTGGATGTGTCAGCACTCAGCATCAAGAGCGTGGGGCCTGTCCCCCAGCTCCAGAAAGGGGCCACTCTTGCTGATACTAGTGGCCTTTCCTGCTCCTTCATCTGGGGCTTTCCTCCTTGGGCCTGGTGCCCAGCTCTCAGGAAGCCCCTGCTTTCCTCGCTGCTGCCAGTGGTCCTCTCTCCTGCCCTCCTGGCCCTGCCATCAGCGCCCCCTAGTGCTGGGATGGCCACGCATGAGGGCCTGGCCTCTGAACCCCAGAAGGCCTCAGAGATCTCTTACAAACTCCTCTGCTTGCTTGTGAGGAAGGAAGGAAATGGAAGGAACTTTCTTGGAATCTGAAACTTGCATATAGAAATCCCAAGGTCTGTCCTTTGCTTTCCCAACCTCTCCCTCTCTTGGCACAATGGCCTGTACTCCCAAATTAGGGTGAGACTGAACAATGAGCAGGGGAGCAGAGAGCTCATACGACAGTCACCTGCCTTCTTTTATATCTGTATCTAGGTAACTCTTGATTCATCCCACAGTCGGGCCCAACAGGGCAGCCAGTGTCTGGTGGAGATCAGGGACCGTCATCAGGCCCTCTCTGCTGGGAGGTTCTGGTGTCTGATTGCACCCTTCCAGCCTGGGTGCAGGCCCCACCCATGACTGGTGAGGCCTGAGGGCCCCTCACACCTGGGCCCAGGTGTCTGGTCTGCTGGAGGGCAGCCCAGACTCCCCCATCCTATTCTGTGGCTGCTGCTACCAGGCAGCTTCAGTGCTTTGGGGTAGCCTGCAGGGAGCAGGGGTCAGTGTTTAGTTCCAGGCTGGCTGGTAATGGCGAGCCCAGGAGTAAAAGCCATGGCCCAATCCCTAACCAGAGCCAGCTGTGCTGTGTGTGAATGGTGGCAGGGGCCTGGGGACAAAACAAGCTGGAGATAAAGGTCTCAAGCTGGAGCAAATAAGTATAACATTCAAGACCCCCCTCAGTCTCAGGCAGGCATACTTTAGAGAAGGAGAGGTTGCAGATTACCACATCCTGGCTTGGAGCAGACTCCCAGAGGCTGACCAGAGATGTGTGTGCCCACATCTCAGAGCCCACTGTGAGGGACTGAAAGGGGATAGGAACTGGCCACTTTCAAAAAGACAAGAAGCAATTCCTCTTCCTTAGATTCAGCATGCAAGGAAGTCTATTCCCAACCCATATACCCCAGTACCTGTCTTAACTTCCCTGCATGAAGAGATGGTGGGGCAGTTAAGTGGCCACAGCCAAATGAGCTGGGGCCAGTTGCTGTATCCAAGATGGCAGCATGGCTATGCCAGGGCTAGCGAAGGGGCAGAAGAGGGGGTGGGAGCTTCCCTGTCCACTTCCCACCTCTGAGCATGTACATTCTGAGGGGCCTCCAGGAGACTAGAGGGCTAAGAGAAAGGGAGAAAGAAGGCACTCCGGGCAAGCAGGGACTCTGTCTGTGTTGGAGTAGGCCCCTCTCAAACCAGGCATTCCCTCCTGCAGGAAAACAGAGCACTTCCCAGGAGGTACCAAAGATGAGCTGAGGCCTGGCCAGCAGGAAGACTGTGTGGGTGAGAACTAGTGAGCAAATGCGTGGCTGAGCCAGGCTGGCAGCTCCGGGGGCAGGTAGGGCAGGGGAGGAGAGGTAGAGACAGACCAGGAAGGGAGGTGCAGCCCTTCCCATGTCCTGGCCTCTCCCCTCCTGCCTGACCTGTAGATCTGGGACAGGAGCCACATGTGGAGTTGGGGGAGCATGCTTTCTGAGCATGCATATGTAGGCATGGCCACATGTCCCCCATGTGGCAGTGTGGTCCAGACAGATCATCAGAGTGGCCATACTTCTGGCCTAAAGGGGGTTTCTGCAATGAGGGAAAGACTGTGGCCTACAACTGGAGTCTTCCAGCCAAGGAGCCTCTCCCTCCTCCAGCTGAGCTCCCTGTGATCCATGATGCCGCCTGGCCAATGTGGAGAGCAGGTGCAGTTCCCCCTGCACAAGGATGTAAGTGGACCCAGGCTGGTATCTTGAGGCAGGCAGCCCAGCCCAGGGTGTGTCCTTGCCCCAGACCCCACTCTGACCGGGCCTGGTCCTCTCCTCTGTCTTGCAGAACTACAGCGAGAGGGAAGCATCGAGACTCTGAGTAACAGCTCAGGTTCCACCAGTGGCAGTATCCCAAGAAACTTTGATGGCTACCGATCTCCACTGCCCACCAACGAGAGTCAGCCCCTCAGCCTCTTCCCTACCGGCTTCCCATAGGTACCAGCAACATGCTTCTGACTGGCTGGCGGACTCACCTGCTGGAGGGAGGGGGAGAAGCCCCCCTCTGGTCCTACCCTTCAGTCTAGGCTCCTTTTCCACCAACCACCTTCCCCAAGCTTAGTGACAACAGCCACCCTCCCTCCCAGGACTAAGAAAAGACCCTTCTCCAAAGCACCTCGGCACACTCTGACCTCTGTCCCCAGTCAGCGGGGCTGTGGCCCAGAGACTGCAGAGGCACCATCCCCTCCCCCATTTGCACATGATGTCCTACATCGGATCCGCATTTGTATTTTCTAACCATCCCCGCAGGGGGACTGGGTTGGGAGAGGGTGGATGGCCCAGTGGGCCTTTTGACCCTGAGTGGACAGCCCCAGCTCTCTCCTGGCTGCGGCACACACTGCCCAGCTTCTCTTGGCCAATGCCCCCCCTGGCATGGGGTGAACTGAGGCCCAGAGTACTAGGGAAGGGGGAAGGACAAAGCCCCCTTCCTCTTTTCTTTCCCCTTTGGCTCCTGGGAAGGATTTGTCTTTCTTGTCTGTAAGCCCTTTTACCCTAGACCTGTACTGTTCAGTGAAGGAAACTGTGGTTACTGAGGCCCTGTCAACAAGTGCACGTCTTGTCCAATAAATCACGCTGCAACTGGTGTCCATTCCTGAGTTTCTGGGGTCAGGATTCTCTCCACGTGCTGAGCAGAGTGCTGTGGGCTGGCCACATGTCCCTGCTCCCAACAGCCCCCATCTCGACATGGGCAACTGAGAGAGGGGCCAATGAAAGGACAGGAAGGAAAAGGAGAATGGTTGCTCTGGGCTTTGGGTAGGGCCTGATTTAGATCCATTCTCCAACCTTCTTGCCTGTTACCAGAGCCAGTGAGTCCTGGTGGCAGCACAGGCATGGACTTTGCCTGGCTGTGGCACGTGCTGGTGGGCTTCTGTGGGAAGGAGCTCCTCATGAAGACCTTGGCTTTATCTTTGGGGCAGGAACCTCATACCTATCTCTTCTCAAACTCAGAAAGAGCAAGGGAGGATGGTCAGGAGAAGGTGGGTATCTGGTGGAAACCTAGCTGGAACCTTTGATGGCAAGTTCCTGATTTTGTCTCCCTCTCTCCCCTCAATTCTGGACCTAAAGTGAATGGTAGGAAGGAGACAGGAGCAGGGGGAGCAAAAGGGGTGTTAAGCAGAAATGAGATTCATGTCAGCCCTGGTTCCTCCTTCCCTGAGACCCAGAGAGGTGTGGAAGGATTGAAGAAAACCCACTGAGCCAGGTGTGGTTTGAGGTGAAGTTTAATGTAACCGCTGCAGAAGAGCTGAGTCCACAAACAAGCAAGGCCTTCCCATCCAAACGTCAGCCAGAGCTGGGGCAGCTCCAGGGGCCACTGCTCCCTTCACCTGCCACCCAACCTGGCACCTAAGAAGAGATTGAACCTTCGGTTCCCTCCACCTGATCAGCTGGGCATGCTGGGAGAAGGGGAACCCGAATCACACTAGGCTCTGTAGGCTGAGTAG